TGACTACGAAGAATTGATCCGAATAATTCGAATTTGGTGGGATTTGGAGATGAATGGCCCGAAATGCTTCGCAATAATCATCCGTCTCCAAAGCTGGGAAGCTTGAAATCAGATTTGGGGATTCGCCAATGTTTAAAAATTAGATAAACATTAGGGATCCAATTGAAGTTTCAGACACTTATATGTTACAACAATTATATCCTTGGGTTTAATCTATAATTTATTTATAGTTTGAATAATTTCCATATGTCCCTTGAGTTTTTACATAATAAAGCCCAGAGCAGGCCGGATAGAGTAATACATCGCAAGTCCTAGATCAGACCCCCTCATTTTTTTAGTTCTTCATAAGTCTAAGCTCAAACTCACAAGTGATATTTCAACACGCCCCCTAAATTGTGAGTCCTTCATAAGCCTAGGCCTTGAGCAGGTCGGTAAAGTAAGTCATCGCAAGTCTAGATCAGGCCCTCTACTTGTGAGTCCTTCATGAGGTCAAGCTCATAGCAAGACGAGTAGAGTAAGTCATCGAAGTCCTAGATCCCCCCACTTGTGAGTTCTTCATAAGCCCAAACTCAGAGCAGAGGCCGGGTAGAGTAAAGGCATGAAAGTTTATGAAATAATTTACTCACATTTATTTCATACTCAAAATCTAATTCAACTTTAATTCAACCTCACTATTTTTAATATTATTAATATAATTAAATAATACAAATCAATTATTCTTACACATCACATCAACTTTAATTTACTATTCACTCACTCACATAATTTTAACTACATATCATTTCCAATTATTTCCAATCATTTATCTCTTACTTTTACATCAAATTAATTTTAAACATTTTATTTTAAATATTATTTTAATACATTCTTAAAATTTCACTAACAATTAATCATATTACCTTTATCAAAATTAACTATGGTTAACCAAAATAACTCATTTTGAACAAATCATTTCATAAACAATCAAGCCCTAAGTCAATGCAATTCCTAGATGAGGCCTTCTCACTTGTGAATCCTTCATGAGCCTAAGCCCAGAGCAGGCCGGGTAGAGTAAGTCATCGTAGGTCCTAGATCAGACTTCCTCACTTGTAAGTTCTTCATAAGCTCACGCCTAGAGAAGTAGAGTAAGTCATTCATAAGCCTAAGCCCAGAGCAGGTTGGGTTGAGTAAGTCATCGTAGGTCCTAGATTAGGCTCCCTCACTTGTGAGTCCTTCATAAGTCCAAGCCTAGAGAAGTAGAGTAAGTCATCGCAGGTTCTAAATCAGGACCCCTAGAGAAGTAGAGTAAGTTATCACATGTCCTAGATCAGGACCCCTCACTTGTGAGTCCTTCATAAGCTCAAACCCAGGGCAAGCCGAGTAGAGTAAGTCATCGCAGGTCCTAGATTAGACCCACTTAATGTGAGTTCTTCATAAGCCCAAGCCCAGAGTAAACTGGGTAGAGTAAGTCCTCGCAGGTTCTAGATCAGAACCGCTCTAATACCATGTTATAATCGGAGGAAGAGGGTGCAGTCCCATATAGATGAAGCACACACATTGGAGGGTGAGCCTAGGTGCAATGTAGTGAAGTTCCATCCCAAAATCAATTGGTAAAATGAGAAGCAGTCCACTAGACTTGGGATTGGCAAGTTTCCAAGAATGATTCCCCTCTCTTTAAATCCCTCTTTGAAATCCGGCAAAGCTTGATTGAAAAGGCGGGTAGCGAGCGCGGTGCGGAAGCCCTCCTCCATGCGTGGAGTTTACGCGACAAGTAAGACGGTACTAGCAAGTGTTACGATTTTCTCCGACCAAAGGGTATTGAGAAGCCATGGGTCGGGGTTGTTTGGGGGAGTTGCAATACCCCCAAACATTCCTTCATTTTATGGCTTGGTGTGATGAATAGGCTCCAAACAAAAGATCGCCTGGAGTTCCTAAATGAAGACCCGACATGCCCCCTTTGTGGTACCGCGAATGAATCCTCGAGCCACCTCTTCTTCGAGTGCCCCTTTAGCTCGGAGATATGGAGTGCAATTCGAGTTTGGGTTAGCCTCCGTCACATGCCAACAACTCTTAAAGGCGCCCTCAAATGGACCAAAATAGAAGGGAAAGGTACAACTTGGAGAGCCAAATTGAAGAAAGCGGCGCTTGCGGCCACCGTCTACTTCATTTGGAATGCGCGAAACAGATTGATTTTTGAGGGCGAAACCCAACCTCCAAGCCTTGTGATTAGAAAGGTAAAGACCCACGTCTACCGATCTATTTTTGCTCTTTTTCCGAGTGTTCTTGCCGAATTTGAGAGAAGAAGCCTAGGTGTTGAAGTATAAAATCTTAATAATTTTTTAGGATGGTTGATGCCAAGTGCTTGAGCACTTGGAAGATCTTGATTGGAGGAGAACATTGTCCTCGTTATTTTTGTTCTTGCGAGTGAGGAACCGACATGTGGTTAC